TGAAAACCAGTATTCCTTGCTGTTTGGCCAGGTCTACCCCAAAACCAACCACTATGTTTCCCAATATTTGATCCATTTGTATCACAGGCTGGTGTTGGGATGAGGGGAAGCTTGGGAACAGCCACTTGCTGCATTGGGAGGGTGCTCAGAACCTCACTGGCCATCATTGCGCTCTACTCTACTTCTTCTCAACCTTCTTAGTCACAGAAGGTGGGGCAGGAATAGTCTTGGCCTTTCCCTGCAAAGGATACCCAGGCGTAGGCCCTTCCTGAGCAACAATTTTAACCCCACCCACACTAGTCACTAGCCTACTTACTTTGAACAACCAAAAGAGCATGTAAACACAGACTAAATTTAAGGATGAGGCGCGCCCTGCATTGTCTCCTTCTTATCCTTGCGAACCTGCTCCTCTTGAACACGTTGCTCCTCCTTCTTGCGAAGCTCCTGTTGCGCCTTCTCCCGCGCCTGGCGAATGCGTTCACCCATTTCCTCCTTGCGGCGACTCTCCTCCTCATCCTTCTTCTTCCAAGCTTCCTCCTGGGCCATCCGCTCCTCTTCCTCCTGTCGGACGCGCTCCTCCTCCTTCTTGCGAGCTTGCTCCTCTTCCTGTCGAATGCGTGCCTCCTCCTCCTCTTGCTTGATGCGCTCCTCCTCCTTCTTACAACGAGCTTCCTCCTCTTCCTGTCGAATGCGTGCCTCCTCCTCTCGCTTGATGCTCTCCTCCTCCTTCTGACGACGAGCTTCCTCCTCTTCCTGTCGAACGCGTGCCTCCTCCTCTCGCTTGATGCGCTCCTCCTCCTTCTTACGAGTTTCCTCCTCTTCCTGTTGCAAGCGTGCCTCCTTCTCTCGCTTGACGCGCTCCTCCTCCTTCTTACGAGCTTCCTCCTCTTCCTGTCGAATGCGTGCTTCCTCCTCTCGCTTGACTCGCTCCTCCTCCTTCTTACGAGCTTCCTCCTGCTGCTGTTGAATGCGAGCCTCCTCCTGCGCCTTCTTGCGGTTCTCTTCCTCCTGCCGATCCTGTGCATCCTTCCTTTGGCGCACTTCCAAGCGAATGCGATCGATCTCCTCCTGGCTGAGACGAGGGCCGCCATGAGGAGCAGGAACAGGTCTCTGCGTGCGCCCCAGTGGGCTGGGCAAAAATGAGGCCTGCCAAGAGTCTGTGGCATGAAATGTTCCTACCATTTAGCATCGACAAAAAACATGGTGGGCCAACCAGAAAAGTTTGGCCTCATCTCCAGCATTGGCAGCGGTTGACCATTCAGACGCCTACTCTTGGCTTGAAACAGCACTATCAAGGAGCAAAACCAGGTAAGAACGTCAAACATTCACTTCACACGTCTTCCCTCTGTCCTTGCTCTCCTGCGGAGCCAAAACACGGAGACGCTTGGCAGACGGCTCTGTGTCTTTCAAAGCAGGCATGCTCTGCTGCTTCTCCATGAGTTCACTCGCCTAAAGAAAACTAACCCAAAAACAAATTTGAATAACTCAACTCTGTCGCTAAGAGCCCGCCCATGGCATGCTACGCTCAACCCTTGCAACTAAGGCACAAAAACCGAAAGGGGAACAGTCGGGGACGTGACGTACTCTTTGGTCTCACCGTCACGCTTAGTGACCGATACGGCATAGTCCATTGCTGGGCACTCTGGAAGGTAAGAGCTTTTCTGGGGCTCGTGGAGATCTACCAGAAGCGCTGTTTGGTCTGGGGCATACACCACGATGTGGTTAAACTCAGAGGAAAAGGACGTTGAGGTCTCACTTCTGGCCGCCCTGTTGACAGACCGCAAACTCAAACTGTGCAGACTGTCCGGGCCCTTCCTGGCTTCATACTGGCGGTACTCCGACACAGGCACAAACTCTTCCACCCAAGCAGTCTTGTCTTGGTTGGATACATACGGCTTCTTGTGCCTGGGCCAGGAGTTTAAACACCCCTAAACATTGTGAGTCTGAATTCTTGCCCAAGTTGGAAACAACTAAGTCTAGTACTGCGATGACCAGTACACAGTCTCATCCCATGCATTCCACGAGCGAGGCAGATATTCATGCTTCTCAGAATTACTTACGCAGTACCGGTCCCCAGAGGGGTAAACCCTCAAAGGACCAAGAATGCGCTCCTTCTCCTTGCGGTTGTGCTTGACCAACCCGATCAAATATTTGCCGTTGACTCAGCAAGCACAGAAGAATCTGATAGAAAAGACATGGGGAACTGTGTTTCAAAACAGTTTCATTCCATTTGGACATAGTGCTTCCAAAACACCCTCTTCCTTGTCTCCACTCTGCACATCTCGCCAGTAGTCGGAGCACAGGCTGTTGAGATATGCTGCGCCTAACCAAGCCCAAATAATTAGACTTGAGTTGTCCAAAAAGTAGCGCCCAAAGGTCTCATGCAAAACAAATATAGCACGGTCACCCAAGCGCATGACGCTGACACATCTGGGGCTTGGACGGTCGTTGTCAATCGACATAGGCTTGGACTCCGGGTCAACGCTGCAGATCTCGCACAAAACGTCCTTGGTAAGCAGCTGCCAACATCCTTTCACCCATACTAATTCCTGAATTCTACAATACTTCACAGGAAGGAGATGTTGCGACCTTTCATTCATTCTGTTTGCTGAAATCTACAAACATTCACGGGAAAGAGATGTTGCAACCCAAGATTCAGTCACCTCTTCATTTGAGAGGGCTCCTAGCGCAGAGTTGCTGAATTGGTTTGAATCCATCGCTTGCAAAGTCTTGAACTTCTCAGTCAGTGGGATCTGGTAGTGGTTCTTAAACTGCAGCGAATTGCCAGTCACTTGTTTGGCACGTCTTTGCTGGTGGGATTTGGGCGCCGGCGTGCCTGCAAACAAGAAACATGGAGAGACCCATCACACAACCTGTTCTTTACCTGATGAAAAAAGTTTTCCTGATTCAGAGCTCTATTTGACCTGACCTGACCTTGTTGGCGCTTCGGAAACGCAGGCTCAGGCTCTTCCCACGTTGAATGCTGTGGAGGCGGGGCCGGAGGTGCACCTTGACCCTTGCCACCTGCACTTGGCATGGCTGTGCAAAGTAGTCAATACGCACTTCATGAAACTTGGACCCGCTGGTGATCGGTCTCATCAGTGACAATACCAAGTCAAACATGCCACGCAACGCCTGGCTTTGGCATTGCCGGGGCGGCAGGAAAGGGAACGCTTTTGCCCACCATCGGCGGCGGCGGCGCTCGTGAAACTCCACTCGGAGGTGGTGGAGGAGCGCCGCCCATCATGACAGCGTGTTAGAAGACTACACGAGACAAGTTGCTAGCCAAGACACTGAGCACACGAACACAATTGTAGGACTACCGTAGAGCAAACAAAAGCTCACTCCCAGTTGAACACAAGCAGTTTGGACATTGTTTTGACTTCTTTCCGTGCATTGTTCACAAATCTGTGTCCGAGTCGTCAAACTGAATTAGCTCATCGTAGTTGAACTCCATATTGGTCAACCATTTTGGAAGTCTACGACGGACGGAGGCTAAAGCGCACCCCATCACACAACCGACCTGAGGAACAACCATGGAATTGCCCAAGGCCCGCCTCATATCAAACCAAGATAGACTTGGGATATGGACACGGTAAAGCTGAGACAAGTGGCTGTACTGCTGGCAAATGGGAAAGGTGGGGAACCCCATCGCCAAATACATTTCTCTAAGTGTCATATGACGGTGCATCGCTGGAACAATGTAAAGGGAGCCAGAACGCCGAATTGTCGGAATCTTACAGCTATGGGCGGACCAAGTAGTCCATCCAGTTCGAGGGTCGTCGCCGACATGGCAAATCAAATCTTGAAAAGAACAGGGGTCATGCATTTGCTTCCACTTCAACACATAGGCTGCAGCTCGAAGACTCTCATTCGGAATGAGGGCGTTCGCAGGGTGAGGGGAACCAGTCCATTCAATTCCCCGTGCTTTCAAGAGATGAAAGCAATCTTGCTCAACATCCAGCTGATCTGCGATCAACACATCAGATGGCCTCGCAGGCAGACAGATTTGCTACACACTGCTTGAAATCATCCCACCGGTTAGCAGAAGAAACTGTGCGTGGAAATATTTATTCTTCAAACATCAAATCCAAAAAAGCAACGCAAAAGTGCAGGTGCAGCAGGAACTTTTGCAGGTTGGTTTGGTTTCTCCTGAGTCTGATCCAAAAATGTTTGAAAAGAAAAGAGGACTGGGATGGAACCCAGAACGCCTGGCATTTTGGCTGATGTGATGTATTCGAGAAACACGCCTGCTGTCCACAGGCTCCAAGCAAGTTCTAACTTCCACATGATTGTTCTTTAGTGTGCACCTTTATCATATATTAAAACTTGATGCAGGCTTAGTTGAGCAAGAGTTTGACAAGGGGCCTCGACTGTGAAGTAGCAGGCTCTCTTCGCAGGCAGTGGTGCACATACTGTAGAAGTTCGTTGGGATCGCAAATGGCCTCTGTTTGTTCCTCATTGTACGCCACCATGTTGCGCCTGCTCGTTGCACTCGAAAAAACATTTACAGCAACAAAACAAAGGCAAAGCAGCAGACCAATTTACGTCGAGAAACAAGAACAAAAGTAAGTAGGCGCTGATGAAGTCGCAACCAACGTCGGTAGGTTCTACGCAGCTATTGATCACCATCGTAAATTCATTCCCAAGTGCTTCGGAAACGCAGTCTGCGGGGCATGAGACAACGTTTTCTATTCCGACCACAGCATTGCGCGCTGCCCGTGCTCTTGCAGCGAAGGCCAACATGGCCGGATAAGCTCGACCCTCAATCCCAGCCTTGTTCCCTGCAGTTGAGAAATCAACGCAGGGGAATCCACCAACCCGTGAGGCAGCCCCAGTGAACAAGACACAAAAGCTCTGGTGTTTTTCACACCACATGGACTCCAGACACTGCCACTCCAAGGCCAAGTTGACTCTTTCTTCAACAGTACCTTTCTTCATGAAGCTCTGCAGAACCTTGTTTCCGTCATGCCCAAAAACACGGAAAACATCAGTGAAGAGATGGCAGTGGTCAGGCAGACGGGAGAGCAAAGCGGTGCGCATCGCACCGTCAATTTCCTGCAGGCAACCAGCCCTACACTCAGTGAACCGTCAACCGCGTGGCGCTTCACACAGGTTTGTTTGCACAACCTACAACAAATCACCAAGCAAAACATTCTCAGCCACGACCAGGCTGCGCAGGTGGATTGTGGCTCTGGCAAATTGGCAGGCCACGGTGAGCTCCAGCAGCGGAAATAAATTGGAACGCCTCTTCCCAACCCGCAGCCCCACCGGTGAATTCTGAATCTGTTCCAGTGCTGCTGCTGCACAAGAGCGATCTTCTTAAAAGGGAGTCTGGAATGCGACTTTGGAGGCTTTGAAGTAGCACATCCGCCCACCCAAATTTCTGAGCAAGTCTACTGGATCTATCCATCTTTTCAGATTTGAGCAAAAAAACTACACCTAGGGCCAGGGTTTGTGACACTGTCCTTGGCTCAGAATGTGGACGCAGCATGCAGTTGTTTTTTTTTCCCACGAGTACTTCCAAGTAAAGTGGCTTGCCACCAATCAAGAATCATGAGCAGCGACTCAATCGACGAAAGTCTGCAGAAATTGCGCAAAGAGACTCCCCCCGGAGGGGAGGTCGGTTCAGCCCCTATTGGCACCCACAGGCACCAATGGCAAGCAGAGTGAGGTGTCTTCTATGTCAGCAAGGCACTGCACCATTGCAAAAGGTAGACGGCTTCATGCAGGGCCCGTGTGAGACGAGTGAAACAGGTGAAACATGGACACGCATGGTACCTTTGGGCTCTCACTGCGTGAGCGCACCCTGGGGCGGTGCCCTTTCCACCACAAAGAACGTACACTCGGACGTAAGTGTTGACGCACGCCAAAAAGGCGGAGAACCCGCAGAAGCATGCAACACCACGAGTTCATGTCTTTGTCCAATGTGGCCTGCGAAGGTTTCCACATGAGGAATTTCGCAACGCAGCACAGCTCGACCCTTGGTTCAGGGCCTTACTGTGGCCTGACTGTACATTAAGCCGGGGTGTTCCTGCCAGAACCCCGACCGCTCGGTGACCCAGTCGATAGCGATCCCACCCTACCTATGACCTCAAACCCGAAGGAATGGAAAGAGACAGGTGGAGGCCCAGGTCACCCCAGACACCGTGACCACTCTGGCATTCATCACGGAGGAACCGACGGTCTGATCCGTGTGGAGCTTGGCCACCCCTCACACGAACTTTGACCGTTAGCCAGGTCACAGACAAGGATCATAACGTCGAAACATAATCACACCCAACCTTGGCAGGCTAGGCCCCGTTGCCCATTCATTTCCACCGGTGTGGAACTCCCGAAGGAGAACTCAGTGTGTCCACACGCAGGAGTTCACCGACTTGCCTGACCATCAAAGGAGCTACCCCAACCACATTCAAGTCCTTAAGAAGAGGTGGAAGGGACCCCGACTCCAAGTCACCAAGGAGTGGATGGCGCTGTGGCCTGTCGACCACGCAGCACCAGTTGACACGTCCAAGTCAACAAGGACATGCCAACTGGCCGGCTAGGGAGTGTAACGTAACCATGTCCATTCATGGTTCCAGGTCGAAGGGATCTACGGACCGTACCATGAAAATCCTCCCCCAACAACCTTGTCTCCCTCGCGGGTCCACGCTCCCTCTTTAGGACTAGGTATCGGGGACCCCATCCCCCTACCCATCCTAGCATGGTATCTGTACTTCTTCATACAAAATTGGAAATGTCGGACTTCAACAAAGGGAACTAAGGTTCCCCCTGGGCATCCGCCATTACCACTCTCTACCACCCGCCTGTTAGGAACGAAGAGCTAAGGCTCTCACTCCTATTGGCTCACTGCAGTTCGATTGGCACAAAGAGCTTGCTTAGTGCTTGCATATCTTACTTGCCGTACTCTGCCGTCAGGCAGCTTGTTCCCTTTTCCGGTCACGGGCTTGCCTCGCCAAGGCGCACGCCCCGACTTCTAACTAGTACTGACAGCATATCGCTTGCGGTAGCCAAGAAACAGCCTTGTTTTCATCCGAGACCTGGGGCGTACCCCATGTCCGGGATCATGTGCAGCCAAGGTGGCCATCGCATAGCAGGACAAATGGCGAAAGCGTTCTCTTCTGCATAGACTCCTCGCCATTTATGCCTTCCTGGCATCTTGACCAGCCTCCTAAGGACAGTGCAATCTAGGAAGGCCCTACTTCCTATGTACCTCAGCGAGGGTGGAATGGCAAGCTCCACGAGAGCTGCACAGTTCATGAAGGCTTTGACTCGGATTGTATGGAGTGTCATCGGCAGGAGAACTTCTCTGAGGCTAGTGCAGTGCACAAAGGCGAATTCCGGAATTTCCTCAACTTGGGTGTTGCAAAGGTCTATACTCTTGAGCAGTCGACAACTGTCGCATGCATGCGCTCCGAGAGTGGCAAAATGCATTGGGAGAGCAAGTGCAGTGATTCCTGTGGAGCTGAAACAGCCCGGCGTTAACTCCCCAACCCTAGCTTGCAATCCTGACTCTCGGGAATATGGAGACTCACTTAAGGTAACCTCCGCGAGATTGATACACCCCTGAAAAAGGTAGTGTCCTAAATTGGCTTCGCTATTGAACACATTTGCTGCCCCTTCCGATGCATGCACCCATTGCAAGGAACAACATTCCGCAAAAGCTTTATACCCAAAGTCTAAGCAACCCTGAGCCTCGACGCTGTTTAGCAGCTTGCAATCACGGAAGACATTATCGGAAATGCCTACCACTGTGGCAGGCAGTTTGACGATGCGTAGCTGCCGGCAGTTTTGCCAGGCCTCTGCCTCAATGAACCTGATACCTGATTCTACACTGACATGTCGCAGACGTGGAACCCCTGCAAAGGCCCCTTCCGGGACACTTCTCTCTGGGTTCATGGGGACATGTGCTGCTAGCGGAATGTGATGGATAGGGCAATCCTCAAGTTCTACTTGAGACGGCAGGATATCACTACAGTTTCGAAAAACGATAGTGTATTCCATACCTTGCTGTAGCTTGTCCCAGATTGGGTCCTCTAGGTAAGTCTGTGTGGCAGTTTGCAAAAAGTCAATGCAGCACCCAAAGACTTTGAGATCAGTAGCAGAAACGAGATAGTCCATAACCTGGTCTTCTAGATCCTCAAAACGGTCAAACTTTGCAACACTGAGAGAGACCTGAAAAGTCTCTCCCGAAAGTGTAGTCAGCATCAGGGAGCATTCCATGACTGGCTCCTTTTCAAGGGGAGTGCTAATCATGGATGAATCATCAAGCTCCATGTGCAGCAGGTTATTTGC